TTTTTTTTTCTATTTCTGAAGTTATAAAACAAAACCAAAACATGTCCACCACTTAGGCCCTTGGATCCTGCTGACTGTGCACAATTTGACAATCGTACTCCAGGAGTCATGCCACTAACCAACCCGAAGCCTTGCACTAATGCCAGTCACACACAGGTCAGTGGACTTGGTGAACGTAGCACCATGCCTTGAAAATCCACAACTTGATCTTTGACAGGTGACAAAGGTCATGATTCCAGGTCCCTGAGTGTGCTTCAGAGAACGTCAGTCACAAGAAGAGTCCTGGCGTGGGGAAGCCATAGAGGATGGTAGAAATCAAGCATATGCTTTTCCGAAGGCAACTGGTTTGCCGCTTAGAGTTTCTGCTAGCTGGTGGTCTTTCTCTGTACCAGAAAGAGCTCCCCCATAACCTTTATACAGCTCCTTGTAGATGGAGTAATTTCTGTTCTAGCAAGATAGGGTCTACTAACCATCAGAATATCAGGAATTTCCAGCCTAGAAGGTTCTGGGGGAAGATATCCCTTCTTGTCAGCTCATAACTATATTTTCACACTCAATTAAGGAATATGGTCTGAAAAGAGTTTTACTGTTGAGATTATTTTTTCTGTAAAACATTTTTTTTTAATACTGATGAAACTGCAGTTCAGAAATTCAGACAGGACATGGTGGTTATGCTTTGTCTTTTCACCATCTGGGAAGACACAAATGGATAGAATCATCTGGAATCTTCTTTACTCATGACCTGGTACCTGGGCTGGGATGACTCCAGGGCTGGGCTGGGCTAACTTGACCATCTGGTCTGATTTTAGATGAGAAGTTTATCAGTGATGTAGAAAAGTGTCACAGCTTATTATACATACAAAGAACTGCCATTACTGAAAACAATAAAACATAAAAGAATCTCAATATTCAGTATTAAAAGTATGTCCATTAATGGAACATTTGACATTAATACTGCATTAGAAAATTACAGGAAATATGGTCACCAGGCTTGCGCAACCTAAAGTCAGTCATGCATAACTAAATTCTGTTCACTCTTCTCCACCCCCATATGTTTGTTAGTTCTGTAAATATCAGTACTTATCAATTTTTTTTCTGGGACGGCCCAGATTTCAAGTGACTGTACCCTACTTTGGGAGTGGGAGAATGGGGTCCGTGCATGCTACCTGTGTGTGATGCAGGTCTTAACACCTAGGGGAGGTGTTAAGAGATCCATACACATCATTCAAATAACACCTGAGACAGCAACTGAACAAAAAGGTACAATAACAAAGTGTCTGAGCCAAACTGGCAGCTCTTGAAGATTCGTGCAAAGGCAGAGGAGAGCAGGAGGCCGGGATTTGTCTGGGCAGAACAACTTGATGATAGATTAAGCAACTATCTTGGAAGAGGAAGCTGGTCTGCTCCAGTCAGCAGCTTAGTCACCCTCTGGTACATAAGTGTCAGATATTTTCAGGCTTCAGGGCCTGACGAGGGCTGCTGAGGTGGACTTCTGCCACGTCCTGGGGATGGAGTGGGTTTTTGAAGGGTGGATCAATAGGATCATTTGCAGGAGGAGGCTTGTCTCTTATTCATAGGAACCTGCACCATGGTGAGCAGCTTGCAAGAAGTGGGGCAGGATGCCACCAACTAGAGTCAGTCACTCTTAACTAATCATGAGTTTAATCCCAGTGTAGCAGATGGACGTAAAAAGTGGTGAGTTATAATTCTGCCTTTCCAGGATTCCTTCAAGACAGAACCATGTGCTGGGAGGTATGCAAGGGACAGAACCATTAACTGCGGGGGTGGCCAGTGGGATCACTTGACAACCTGGGGTCAATCTAACAAGTCTTCTAAGTCTTCTTCCCCTTCACTGAGTGAGTGATGGGAATAGTAGTCATTTCTTCCTCTGGGTGTGTGCAAGCTCTTCTGAGAAGCACCATTAACCTTTGAGGCTCCTTTTTTCCCTCTCCCCCTATTTTCTGCCTTTTAGGAACCTGTCAATCTAGGCAGGAAGCAAAGTACACTCATCTGGGATTTTGTGGAAAGACTTTTTTTTTAAGATTTATTTATTCATGCTTACAGAACTGGGGTGCAGGCCAGAGGTGCAGGGGCAGTGAGAGGATTCACCAGAGACAGAGTGGGGAGAAGAACAGGCTGACTGACGAAGTACACTGCTGAGGGGAGTAGCGGATGGGTCAGGAGAGGTCTGCCACACCATGTGGGTCACCTCTGGGGCCAGGGATCGAACTCATGTTGAAGATGCTTTAGCTTCTTAGTGCTGTGCTTTAACCCACTGTGCCACTAGGGAAGGCCCAGGAAAGACTTTTTAAACAAAGTGACCTCTACAGAGCTGTGGGCAGCTTCCCATCCGTAGTGAGGGACGCTGATGCTACTGACAGAGGAAAGCTTCTCTTGCACTTGACCTGCAAAAGCAGAAGAAGAAATGGTGTTCCTGGTGCCCAGCTGAAAGCTGACCCTGGAACTGGTGCTGCTTGACAGGACTGTGGTGGTGGGAGGTGGCAGCTGCTTCCAGGATTGCCCGGCCAAGTGAGTATGAGAGGAATACTGTCCTTCCTGGCTTGGCAACAAGCATATATTCTGAG